AAAAAAAAAAAAAAATATTATATATATAAATAGTACATATTTAATTTATGCAAACTTGAAAATCTATTAAAAAACATTTTTTTACCAACTTTTGACTTTTTATAGGTGTAGTTTAGAGATATAGACTTTCTTTTTATCAATTACCCTGTGCTCAAATCATGAAATGTAACTTTTCTTCTTTCTTCTACTCACTCTTCTCACACAAACAGTAAACAGACACCACTTCAATTAAGGATTTTCTTCCTTTTTTCTTTTCCCCTCAAACATAAACCAAAGACTGCCTTTCTCCACACCTTCAATCCTTCTCCTCCATGCTATACTGCGGAAAATGAGAAGGGGTAATTTCGTCACCACACCATTCCAAATCCAATAATCTTCCCTTCTTTATAAACCCGATTCCATGACACTCCACACCAAAAATTCAAATTTTGCCATTAACTTATAACCAAGGACTCCAAAATGCACAATCATCCAGGCTCTCTCTAGGTTCACAGCTCACAATTTGCAGTTACCAGGAGAAACATAGGCATGCTTTTGACAAAACAGAGAAATATAGGAATTCACAAAATCATTGTTAACCTCCAAAGTAGGTAACGTGAGGTACTAATGCCCATGTAGATTTTACTCACATGCTACAGGGTTCATGAGATCAAAAAGAAAAAAATAAAATCTACTGGTGTGCATAGTTACATGCCTAAAACCCCACGATATAATATAACAATCCAATCAGACAAGAAAAGCAAGTTCCATCTAGCTCTGTAATTACCTTCAGCTTCAAAGGCCTTCAGACAACATTAAGCAACCTAACTAATGTAGAGGAATTCCCCCACCTGAATATTCCACCTCCTGAAATTTTGACAAACCATGAGTATAGATTAGAAACAGACAGTAAAACTATTTCAAATCATGCAGGATCACTACTTTTCTTACAGTAATCATGTCCAAAGTACAATCAAGTTTTAAGAAGCTCATTGACACGGACAATGAAGCAGAGCAGTTTGTCAAAATGGAAGACAGATCCGAAAACCTATAATAAGATTTTAACTTTTCTGTGCAGTTTCATCCTGATAAAGAAATCAATCTCACTGAGAGAACCATGTCTTTTAGAATGACTTGCATTAGAGATGTCTAACAAGCCATTTTTGTGCTAGGATAGCCTGTTTAAGGACTGTGCTTTGTGTCATTTTTAGTAGTAACCAGAGAAAAAATGTTTTGTCTCTTGCTGTCTCAGTACAGCACAGTGAATGCCATGCTAACCTACATGACATGTTTTCTTGTATATCGTTTCCATGTCATTTTGTGTCTTAACTTGCTGGCTAGGATTCCCTATTGTGCACCATGCCAGCAGCGTTTTCTCACATTTCCTAATCTTCCGAATTATAAACATGCACGGGTCATTTTTGTGCAGCATGAGAAACACGCACCATGGTAGCATTTTACTTTTCTGGTAGTGTTTATACTAACTTTATGCTGAATTCAAAGAACTATACGAGCATGAGAGGTTCAAAAGAAAATTAACTATAAATAAACTAACCTAACTGCATATTACGTAACTCTAATCAAATAAAAAGAAGCAAAAAGGCAATGGCACAAGAGGATATCAAATAGACTAAATGGCATGAATCAATATGACACAATAAGGCATGAATCAACATGGCCCCTTCGGCATACCATAGCAGGGCATATGTTAGTAATTTTTCTTAAGTAAAAACAACTTCTTTGAGTTAACAAATCAAAAAAGTCTGAGTAGGAATTTTCTTAAGAATCGTATGTGTGACAACGGCCTACCTGCCAAACCTATGATCTTGTTTTATTTCTGCCCTGTTTCTTTAGGGGAAAAAAAATCAAATAACGGTATCTTGCATCCTTCATTCATTACAATTATCTTCTGGACACAATCATGATGCAGTAAATAAAATAATTATCATTTTCCTTCTAAAAACTGCAAGGGAAATCTTGCAAATTATAGGAGTTGAATTAGCCGGGCCTCATCCCGACTACTTAGCATTTATTCACTTCAATCTTAAATATCAGATAAACTATTCTGTGACTTCCAATGCTTATGTCTCAATATCTTCAGAGTGACAGAAAAAGGAAGAACACCAAACCTGAGCAGGGGGATAAGGACGACACCCAGTCTGATGCATGTGTTGGAAGAAGGCCCAAAGTGTTAAGCTGTCAAAATAGAAAACGGCTGAATATAAAATAACAAAATTTCTGGATACAAGGAACGATGGTGGAGGGAGAAACAGTAGTAGGGCCAGAGAACAAGAACTTGCAAATTCAATGAAGATCTATCTCACCTTCCAAACCCCCAGAGCTAAACCGCCCAAATTAAGGGCAATGAAGAGCAACTTAGGTGCAAGAAGATCAACTTTATTATCTTTGTATGGCTCAAACACTGCAAAAAAAAAAAAAAATGATGACAGATAAGCATGTCAAGAGAATTTACAAAGCCTCAATTAAAGGAGCCATGAGAGCTGCACATATAAAATATCAAGTCAAAAGCACAGTCCAGTCAGAAACAGGTGATGAATCACAGAGGAATCAACAAATCAAAATAAACAGTAAGTCAATCATTAGGCAGGACAAACCAAAAGCTTGATACAGAACGCCCCAATTCAATAACAAGACTAAGAATAGAAATCATACTTACCCTTCCCAACACCTTGAAGCGCACTTATTGGCTGCCAAAGAGCCGAAAATGTAATGCCAATGCTGAAAAGATGCACCGTACTTCCAGCCATCCACATCATGAACCCCATCATCAGCAAATTCCTGAATGGAGCTTGTGCCACTTCCCAAGCTTTCTGTTCACTCATGAAATCACCATGCTCTAATTAACAATTCTTTCCTATTAACACACACAATTTAAATTGACATGGTACTGTCAAAAACCATGTTAACTTGTGTTCTGTACATCGTTAGATCAGTCAAAATAGATTTTTTGATTTATATTGTTCAAATATTTAGCAAACAGAAAACGTAAAGTTGAAGCCTTGAGGAACAAAAACAACTCTCCTTTAACATAGACGTAAAGTTGAAGCCTTCAAGGTATAAGCACCTCTATTTGTTATATAGATTATAGAACTGAAATTTCTTATGCCAATTAAGATTTAAAATTAATCAAATTCTTCGTTTTTTAAACTTGACCGCCTCCATCGCAGGTAATCTAATTCAAATACACGGACATAATAGTAACAAGCAAAGATATCTTATAAACGAAAAACAAAATATTAGAGATCTAAAGAACGAACAAAAATAAAATAACCCATAAATTAATAAACTTTTAGAAATTACCTGGGCTTTCCAATTAGCTTCTGCATCCTTCTTTTGACGACTCAACGACGAGTCATCCTACAAGATGCTCAAAAAATCAAAAAAATTAAACAATTAGAGACAATCAAATCGAAGACCTGACCTAATTAATAAGAACACATATATGTAAATCCAAGTACGTAAAATACTATGAGAATAAATTCTGCAGGAAAAGAAAAACCTGATCTTGAGAAGCGCGAGTAAAGCCAGGAGGGTCAGGGATATCGCGAGACGAGGGAGTGACTGAATGGTCGTTAAAATCAACAGCCCATCTACGACCTGATCCCATTACTGCTTTGCCCCTATCCATCTTCTTCTCTGTTCTTAATTTTTCTTAATAAGGATAAACAGAAGATTGATAAATACGATGTGATCGATCCTCTTGTTCCCTTGCCTATAAGTTTGAAGGGTAGGAGGAATGCGCGATTTCGCGTGGATAGGGTCACTGGGACGTGATAATTCGGGTTAGTTCGGATCCGAACCCAATATACCTTTCTGAGAAAAAAAAAGATGGGGTTGCAGAATGAGCATATCTATTAAATTAAATATTATTCATAATTAATTATCTTTTAAGTTAATGTATCGTAGTACTATTTTAATACTTCAATTATAATTTTTAGCGATTAAAATTAATCTTTATAACTACTATAAAATTGAATTTTATATGAGTATCAAAATGTTTAATTATTTATTCTAATCCAATTTAGTATTATACTTTCATATATTTATGTTTGAAACATAGTAATTAATAGTTGAATTATTAGTATGTATATTTTTTTATTTATTTATAACAAGTTATATAGGTTAGAGTTGAGTTGTATTTACTTTCCGTCCGTAAGAACATCAACATCAACATAAACTGGAGACCAAGTAAAACATAAATAATACAAAACTTGTAATATATTTAAATTGAGATGAATTTAAACATTTGTTTCAAAATAAATAATACAAAGGCCCATTTTTTGGTTGGTGTAGATTTTTGTTTTTATTAAAAAATAATTTATTTAAAATTTTAAAATTCCTCAGTCAAAATAAAATTATTTATTTATTTCTTTTTGCTTTACCATGTCAAATAATCAGAATCTAAAATCAAATTATGGAATGTCAATTACAGATTGAAAAATTACAATATATTCATGACACATATCCAAAGATATAAATAATTTATTTGTATTTTAAAATTATATTATAGATTAAAAATTAAATATACAATATATTTAATAATAAATTTTTAAATTAAAATTATTTAAAAATACGAATTTTTTATATATATCTACATCAACAGAACACGTGAATAAATTAAATAATATTTACTTTAAAATTTTCTTACTGAAAAGAAATTCTCTCAATTTTTTTTTTTATTTGGTGTGCGGCTAGGTTTTTTCTTCTCTTCTCTTACTTTTTGCAGTCTCCACTCATATATATATATATATATATATATATATATATATATATTACATATATATAGGCGGCATGAGTAGTTATTAATTTCTATTTGGACTTTTTCCTGTATAAGTCCAAACTAAATTTGGATTTTCTTTTTTTTTTTTTTTTTTCAGCACCCAATTACATATATATATATATATATCCTATATATAAAATCCAAGTCCAACTTCCTGTAGTGTCCAAACCAATTTTGAACTCCCCC